AGAACAAGGAGCTGGTGTTACTCTCTTTGTATAGGTGGGGAACCAAGGCAGAAGGAGTAAGTTCCACTAATTTTGGATGCTGAAGTTGCGACTTTTAGCTTTTAAATTTTCTTTTTCTAGAGTACTTAGCACTCTGACATTTCACCACTTCGGATGACAGTTTCTGCGTGGCTTGGGTGGCAGTACTTCTGCAGAGCAGGTCTTGGGTTCTTGGGTTCTTCAGCCAGGACAGGAGAAGACAGTAACCAATAGCACAAGAACTATATAGCAGAGGTGAATAGAAGCCGTTTCTACCAGGGGATCTTTCAGATATGTAAATTAGCTTAACTCATCTACTGTAACAGATTACCTACTTAATAAACAGGACGAGGGGGTCTGTGGACTACAACCCTTTTCTTTGCAGAGTGCTCAGAGCAGATATATTTTGTGTTCTGAATGAGGCAAGGGTTGTAGTAGCAAATAATTGTGATCATATCTTGAAACATAGGCAGGAAAACATCAAATTAATGTCACCATTGCACCTCCACCTCTCAGTTCACTAAGTGTCTCTAAACATTCAGTCATTCTGCTTGCCCTGGATTTGGATCCTCTTATTTGACAGTTACGTTCCCTAAATTGCTTGGCTTCTTGAAAGGGAGAAATGATTGAGAGAGGGTATTACAGGAAATAGGGGTTTTTTGTGTGCTTTTAATTGAAGAACTCAAATTCAGGAGACACGAGATATTATAAGGGGAAGCAGCAGGCAGTTGCAGTACCTGGTAATGTGGGAGAATTGTATTTCTGTAGATTTTGCTGAGGAGATTGCAGTTCAGTATACAAGTGTGGTGGATTCCTGGTATACCATCCAATATTTTATATGGTCTGGAGAATAAGTTACTCAGGATATTAAACATAATCTAGGAATAGGAAGTGAAAGTCAGTTCTTGATCCACCTTATAAAATCAGTCTGTTCTTCTTTACAGCATCTGTGAAAAAGTAATCTTTTTTTTTTTAACAGGACAAAGTTAAAAAGGAAGAAAAAAAAGGCTTTTTAAGATACCTTACTAAGCTGGATATATGCCTGTACTTACTAAGAAATCCTAAGGTCTGTTCTCCTTCATAGCCAATTTTTAATTCGGTCTATGTACCCTTTCTTAAGCAAGTTGGTGTAGAGTGGTGTATTAAGTAGGACAGAGTATGTCACCTTTTCCTTAGTCTGAGTTTTTTCTGAAGCAACTGAAAGGACTTCTGTGAGAGTGCAAATGACACTGTGTGCTTGCGGACGGCAGAGTGTTCAATCTTTCAAAGCTTTTTCATTTTGCGTTGTTTTTATTTTAGTTTAGTTTTAGTTTTGTGATTCTTAGCAGAGTTTCAGCTAGTTTATTTTCCAATAGTATATAGATGGTTGGAGACGTAGGATGTGCACTGAATCTGTTACTTCTTTGGACCTCTTGGCTGGGGAATTGTATGAAAATTAGTGGAACACGATATTCGTAGTAACAAATTGTATGAAAATTAGTGCACTACAATAGTCATAGCATGGATCACAGCTTAATCGCATGTCTCTTGGAGACAGCTCTTGTTCGTGCAGCGGTCACTAGAACCGTCGTCACTGAGAATGATGGAATTGATGGCATGGAGTCCCTCCACCTGCATGGGATGTTTGCCTGAAAACCCAAACAAACCGAATACACCTTCTTCACCAGCATAGTGAGCCTAGCATTGCTCCCTTACGAAACTCCCAGGGCTATCCAGGCTGTGTCTCTTAACTTCAAATCAAGAGCCATCAGTAGGGCAGCACCAGCTATTTGCAGCTCAGCTGAAGCATGCTCTGTGGCATGCCTAGTAGTCATCCTTCTCCCAGACTTTTGCTGTACATTTTCTTCATTTAGTTAATTCCATTTTTAACTGCAATTCAAGTCAGTATATACAGCATTTCATAAAACTTGAGTGACTGACAGCGAAAGGACGCATAAGTGCGATGTGCACAGCAAAGCTACTGCTGGACTTAGCCAGGTTTTGGTAATGTCTTTAGTGAACAGTAAAGAATTAAACTGGAAAATATGTATTCATAGGTCTGCATTGGGTTTAACCCATCAGATTACTGCATAAACTATGTCCCGTTTAATTTCTTCAAAGTCTCATTGTTGCCTAAGGCCTCGTTTGAAATCATTCTTCTTCCAGGTCACTTGATAAAGAGGGCTTACAATCAGACTGTAATTTGGAATATGCATTCTCCAAAAACCCACAACACCTGAGAAAGCTTGTGTTTCCTTTTTGCTACTTATTGGGGACATAGCTGTTATTTTGTTGATCACATCTAATGGTGACATCCATATGATGACATCATCAATGTATTGCAGGTGTTCCGGAGCTTCACCCTATTCCAGTGCAGTCTGGATCAGTCCATGGCAAATGGTAGGGCTGTTTCCACCCCTGGGGCAGTCGATTCCAGGTGGACTGGACGCCCCTCCAAGAGAAAACGAACTGTGACCTGCACTCTGCCACCAAAGGGATTGAGAAAAATGTGTTGGCGATATCAGTGGTGGCGTACCACTTGGCTGTCTTTGACTCCAGTTTGTGTTGAAGTTCTAGCATGTCCGGCACGGCAGCTCTCAGCAGTGGTGTGACTTCATTCGGGCCACAATAGTCTACTGTCAGTCTCCACTCTCCGTTAGACTTTTGCACTGGCCATATGGGACTGTTAAAGGGTGAGCAAGTCTCGCTGATCACTTCCTGGCTCTCCAGCTGACGAATCAGCTCATGGATGGGTATCAGGGAATCTTGGTTGGTGTGATATTGCTGATGGTGAACTGTTGTGCTACTGATCAGCACCCGTTGTTCTTTGACCCTCAGCAACACCACAACAGAAGGGTCCTCCAAGAGACCAGGCAAGGTAGACAGCTGTTTAATTTCCTCCATCTCCAAGGCAGCTATACCAAAAGCCCACTGGTACCTTTTTGGGTCCTTAAAATACGTTCTCCTGAGGTAGTCTATGCCCAGGATGCACGGAGCCTCTGGGCCAGTCACAGTGGGGTGCTTTTGCCACTGATTCCCAGTTAGGCTGACTTTGGCTTCCAGTGCAGTCAGCTGTTGGGATTCCCCTGTCGCTCCAGAAATACAGATGGGTTCTGCCCCTTCATAGCTTGATGGCATTAGGGTACACTGTGCACCAGTGTCCACTAGAGCCTTCCCCACAGTCCAGTAAACCTAGTTGTCCCGTTCCTCCTCCTGGCTGGAGGCAGGGCCCCTCTAGTCCTGGTCATAGTATTCGCTACTCACTTCTTGTAAATATAAATCAGAAGTCCCTTTGTTAGGCTTGGAAGTAGGCAGCTCTTCTACTCTGTCTGGGGAACTGCTCACTGGAAACCAGAGCAGCAGTTTTCCTGGAAGAACCTTCTTCTGTGATTGTTTTTACTTACAACTCATGTACCTGGGCCTCTATGGTTGAGGTTGGTTTTCCATCCCACTTCCTCATGTCCTCTCAATGGTCACACAGGTAAAACCATAGGGTGAGCCATGGTGTGTACCCACTATATTCTCTCTCTTGAGCAGAGGAACGCTTACTCCAAATAGCCGAGATGCTGGTCCATACAGGTGGGGAGTAGGGCATATCATCTTTGAATTGCTGGAACTCCAGGGACAATTTCTCCATGGCCAAGATGCAAGCCCATAGGGAGGGAGAGAGACTTTCTTTGTATTGCTGGAGTTGGCCAGTCAGTTCATCCACCGTTTGTTCCTTTCCGTCTTTCCAGGTCATTAC